GATAGGTTGTTATCATTTTATTTTTGTTGGAAGGCTGACACAGGTACTCTTTTAGCTTCTGCACCCTGGCCTGAAACTGAAGATCCTGCCAATCTTGATTTAATAGACGACACTGTAGTGCTACGCACCTATACTATTACTTCCATTGGGTAAATTTAGAGAAAAAATTGAGTCAAAATGTGCATAACTTCAATTTACGATAAATGCTGCGAAACAGCTTTGCAAAGAGGTTTTTATACCCTCCTGCGACTGAATGAGAACATTTGCCCTCTGTACAGTTGCCAACCATCCTGTAACAAGGTCCCAGCTCAGATGGAGGTAGTACTGGAAATTGAAGCAGAAAATGCCATACAAGCCATACATTAAAAATTTTGTTCCCTTTGTATTTAATCCCTCATTCCTTCAACATATTTTATTGAACAGTTGTTAAAAGTCAGGCATGGTTTAAGACACTATCAATCTAGTAATGAATAAAGCAGACAAGGAACCTCCCTTCATGGGGTGAATTTCATGGAGATTAAGAACAAATCAAACGTGGAAGGAAAGCAGAGAGAGGGTTGGCACACAGGATGTTTTGCTATTATAAATATGTTGGTGAGGGAAGGTGAAAAAATGGTAACTGAGCAAAGATCTGAAGGGGTGAAGGTGGGAGAAGAGTGATTAAGGGGCTGGAAAAGAGCAATTTAGGCAGGGGAGGCATCAAAAACAGAGGCCTGAAAGTGGGCATGTTGCTGTGTTGAATAGAGTGCTGGAATGAGAGAGTAGGCATAAGTCCTAAGAAATAAGGTCAGAGTGGTAAAGTGGGCATACATAGCCTTTGTTTACTAAGGTGTAAATGGATAGCAACAAAGCAATCAATGGCAAACGTCAAAGGAAAAAGAATTCCTGGGTATCTATTTATAATATTTAGGAATTCAAATTCAGAAAGACAAGAAAAAAAGAGAAGTGGAATGTAAAACATGGCAACTGATCTAAAATCTGTTTGGAAGACGGAAACTCAAATAATAGGGTAGGTGCTCCTTCGGCTGTGTTTCAGAATAAACACTCACTTTCAGCAACTCTGCCAAGGACTGGAAGTAAGTCAGAGTTTCTCAACCTTGGCACTGAAGACATTAGAACTGGATTATTTTTTGTGTGGGAAACTGTTCAGTGCATTGTCATATGTGTAAGTGCCATCCTTGTGTATGTCCAATAGATGTCAGTACCACTTTGCAGCTGTGACTAGAATTCTGGTCCCCTGCAACTTCTTTTTGTCTCCTGAGGCAAAATGCTCCTTTTCCCCCTCCTATCCCCACCCCTTAAGCTGAGAATCACTGATGTAAATAGTACTCTTGTGTGTACTTTTGTTTTTTAAGATTTATTTATTTATGCTTACAGAACTGGGGTACAGGCTAGAGGTGTGGTGGCTAAGAGGATTCACCAGAGACCAAGGGCGGAATAGAACAGGCAGATGTGCTGAAATGCACTGCTGAGGGGAGCAGTGGGCGGGTCAGGAGAGGTTTGCCACTCCACGTGTGTCAGCTTCTTGGCTGGGGATCAAACTCGTGCTGCAGGGGCTTCTGAGAGCTTCATAGTGCTGTGCTTTAACACAGCACAGCCTGCAAGGGCTAGGAGATGGATTTCAGGAATACAGATCAAGAGCTTGGGAATGTTTCTGGACTTCCATTTTCTAAAAGGAGGCCTGAGCGAAGGGTGGCTATGGAGGGACTGTCAGAGAAGGCGTATTCCCTTCTGCATGTGTTGTAACAGGGACTTTGTTGCTAGTTGTGGCCAGACCATTGGGGACACAGCAGTCATGGAGCTGGTTTGCAAGGTGAGATTCTGATACTTGAGCAGAAATTCTTGTACCATTTATTGAAAGCATATAATAAAAGCTGACCATGCCACCGTGGTGTGAGGAATACTGTCTAGAGGGTGGGATAGTAATGGGGGACAAAGTTTGATGAAGGATAGGGAAGGGGAATCATGACCATATGTCAAGAGCCATTTGCATCAGCTAAGTACGATTTTATCACAGGCCACCATGGAGATAGTCACATAATCAGGTCCCTGGGCCTGTCTAGTGATACAGGCTATACTCTGTAGTTGTCAAGGAATGCTTTGTTGTGATTGGCAGATGCAAATATGTCACAGTTGCTCATGAGTGGCCATCTAGTAGCCAGCTCATAGGAACCTACATGTCCCCCCCTTTCTGTTATATAGGCAAAAAAAAAGAGGGGGGGGCCCTCCCTGGTGGCGCAGCGGATTAAAGCACTGCACTGAGAAGCTAAAGCCACTTCCGCATGAGTTCGAATCCCGCCTGCCCCGGAGGAGACCACATGGCGTGGCAGACCTCTCCTGACCCGCCCGCTGCTCCCCTCAGCAGTGTACTTCATCTACCTGCCTGTTCTGCTCCCCACTCTGTCTCTGGTGAAGCCTCTCACCATCCCTGAGCCTCTGGCCTGTACCCCAGTTCTGTATGTACAAATAAATAAATCTTTAAAAAAAAAAAAGAGGGGGGAAATGAAGAGTGGACTGGCAGATCAGCATGGCTTGTTGGCAGCCAATGTGCTGTGTCATGTTGGAGGAGAGATGGAGCCCATAGTTTGTTGTTGAATCCAAAGTCCAGAGGGCTTTCTGATGTTCGCCAAGACAGGTAGCATGGAATCCAGCATGGTTTATTGCTTTTGGACTGGCTGGGGACAAGACATAGCATTATGGACATAGGCCTAGTTTGGATAATCCAAGCTGGGGTAGACTCTAGGTAGAAGGCTTTAGTCTCAATGCAATTGCAGGTCTAGCAGAACCATGAGAATGGAGACGCTGATGGCCACAGCGATTTGCAAGGAGCTAGACTGAGTCTACCACATTTAGCAAAGAGCTGGGCTGTGGATCTATGCTTATAGTTAATGGTGAGAGCTGTTGGTTGGTCAGAGAGGCAGTACTAGGTTAAAAAACACCAACTACCATGATCTCTGCAGATTGTCAAACCCATCTGACACAAATGAATTACACAACCATAGCTTTATTATGCATTAACCAGATCTGTTTTCTGGGGACAGATTATTAATAGCAATAGTTGGGAAGAACTGCCTAATAGAGAATCAACCAGCTATCCAAAATTGGTTTACTTTGAATGTTTCTGACTCTGGGAGAGTTGACATATTTGGTACCTCACAGTCTTCTTGCCCAAATACAAGCACTTGAAGTTATTGTTTTGTTCAATGTGATGAATCTCCAATTTTGTGGTAAGGAAGTTAGGGAGGTTGCTTCAGTGTAAATCTTTACTTAATGATATAAAATCTGCTCACCTTGGTGCCTATAGAATTTCAGTAGAAATCCAAAGTCCTGTCCAATAGTTCTGTGAATTCTTTGGGGACTTGTACTCTCATGGATGAGGTGTCCTGACCAAGAAATACAGGCATCTTCTAGAAACAGGGAAAGGTACAAAAGAGGATTATCCCCTAGAGTCTATGGAGGGACTGTAGCTGTGCTCATATCTTGATTTCAGCCCAGTGAAGCCACTTTCACATGGCAGACCTCTAGAACGGCAAGATAATGAATTCGTGGAATTTTCTTTAAAAAAAGATTTATTTATTTATGCTTACAGAACTGAGGTACAGGCCAGAGGTGTGGTGGGTGAGAGGATTCGCCAGAGACAGAACAGGCAGGGAAACAGAACAGGCAGATGCTGAGGGGGAGCAGTGTATTTCAGGAGAGGTCTGACATGCTATGCAGGTCAGCTCCCTGGGGGGGGGGGGGGATTGAACTTATGCTGCAGTGGCTTCAGAGAGCTTAATAATGTGGTGCTTTAAACTGTTGTGCCACCAGAGAGAGCCTGAATTTGTGTGATTTTTAAGCCACCAAGTTTGTGATAATGTTTCAAACATAATAAAAAATTAATAAATCCCCCAATATAAATGAAAAACAATGACATTGCTTGCTTTTTTCATTTAAAAATATTATCTTTTTGCATTGCTTTTTAATAGAATGTCATAATCAGAGATTATAACGAGGGCAGTACCAGCAAATGAATGGATAAATAATGCTTCAAACAAAATGGCATAAAATAAGAGAAGCTGCTTGGAATTTGATAGTGGGTTAAACTTCAAACATCCTCATAGAGAAAGCTGACCTTTAATTGATAGTGAACTTGTTTTACTGTCTTTCTGATTGCACTGCAGGAAGTTTGGTGAAAATAACTGCTTTGTTTACTGATGGCAAGCAGAATATGTTCCCTCAAAATGTGCTGCTTTGACATAAAGATTATTTTGAGCCAAAGGCAATTAAGAAAAAGATCTCTGAAAAGCTCTGTGCCCTTTTCTTATCTGTCTCCAAGTAGGACAGATACTCATACAGGTGTCTGCCCTCCCCTCTCTACCAGGAAGGGAAGAAATTAATTGCCTAAATACAGATTAATGTTACCACTTAATTATTACTGATGCAGAACTGAAACCCATATAATGTTACTTGAATAAAAATAACAAATTAATTGCCTGATAGAATCTGCATTAATTCAGAGTCAAAGCCTAATAATCTACCTGATAAGCCTTACTAACTTGCTTTCATTAGTTTCCCTCTATTTTCACATTTTCATGGTTCACAATCCTAGGCCTTCCAAGTCTTATCACTTCTTTAAAAATTTATTGGTTAATATGCTACATCAGTCCAAGTTCTAACCATTCCTTTAAAGTACTCATTACTGGGTACTTCCAGATACATGCTTGAAGCACATCTTCAAAACTATTTTTCTCTGTTAATGTCTTTTCTCAGTTTTAACTTATGATATCCCAGCCAATAAATCTAACATGCATAAAGGAAAAAGAATTTTTTCCTTTCCTACATCACCGTAGTTCTTTGGGTGTCTAGTACTGAAATCCATTTGCTCATAAGATAAATGAATTACACATTTTTATTTTACGTAAGTCCAGTGTTTTATTTGCTACAAATATGATCAACAGACAGTTTTTTATTATCTAGCTCCCAGAGATAAAGATGTTCTGTTTCATTTTTTTCTGGGTACAACTAATATTTTATTAGGCTTAAGTAATTGTTCAAATATTGCAACTTTACTGTGCATAGCCTATGTCCCTAAAAAGCAACCAGCAGAAAAGTTTAGTAAGTGTTAACCTAAAATCAAATGCAGTATGCAAGTGGTACCTAGGATTTCAGTCCTGGGATCCATGTCCTTCAGCGTTCTCCAGGTCAGCAGCCAGAGATAAAGCTTGCTCATAATACTGGAGGGCCTTAGTTATGTCTCCTTGCAATTTATAGCTCAACCCAATGATGCTCAAGCTTTCCAGGTCTAATTCATTATTTCTGAGTTTCCTGAAAGCCAATTTCCTTAAAGAAGAGATACTTTTATCCCATAAATACGATGACTTTCCTATCTTTATTGCTTTTAAATAATGGACAATTGCATCAACTTCTGATTTCTTGTGAACTTCCTGGTACTTGCCATAATTGAAATGTATTGTTTGCAGTTCTTCTTCTCTGCACAAGTCCATGCATAACAATTTCTGATAGATGTCTTCAGCTTTTCTGTAGCTACCTGCTTCCGTGTACGTCTCTGCCAGGTGTATATAAGCAAGCACAAAAGTAGGCTTTATTTGCACGGCTTGTTCCAAATGAGATATGACTAATTTTGTTAAATTTTCAACATTTTCTCTAGACTGCCTCCTACACTGCCAATTTGTACTTCTGTTTATTTTGAATATTTGCGACCTGTAGCAAAACCCCAGCTGATGGTGCAGGAAGGAAGAATTGGGTGTTGCTCTCAAGCCTTCTTTTAGGAACTCAATAGCTTTATCTAGAACTCCTTTTCTTCGGTAAAACTTGGCTGCGTACCGAAGGATGTAGACATGAGAGGACATGTTGTTCAGGGCTTCTTGAATGTAGCGTTCCCCTTCAACTTCTTGTCCTATTTCCTGAAGCTTTAGGGCGAAGAGAGCCTTAAGATATACATTATCTGGGTTTAGCCTGAGGGCATGTTTTAGGGGTTGCAGACTGCTATGTCCTGTTTTCTTAATGTTTTCCAGGCGATACATGATGATTGCATACCCAGTGCTGGACTCCGGGTTGTCAGGGGCCACTTGCAGAGCCTTTTCAAAGCAGGCCTTGACCCGTTCATAATTAGCTCCTCCACATTTCAGCAAGGCCCATCCTTCTTGACAGTCCATCTCAGGACATTCCACTTTATACCTGGAGGAACTTGCAAGTTCCTTGCAAGTGTTCTCTACCTTGTCCAGGTAAATCTGGGCTTCTGCCTGTCTGCCCATGTGGTAATAGAGCCAAGCACAGTTTCCCCAAGTAACCAGACTTCTCACATACGATTGGTTGGCATCTTCTTGCTGGATCAAGTCTTCGGCTTCTTTCAGGTCAGTCAGGGCTTCCTCATGCCGGCCTTCCAGGTGTTTCATGTAGGCCAGTAGGTTGCACATCTCCACATCACACTGGATGTCTAGATAGGCCATCTGATCAAAGACCCTGTTTTCTAAGTCAGGCATTTCAGTGTCTTGAATTTGCAACTGCCACGTAAAGTGGCATCTCAGTTGAGCCAGACTATCTTTTATGAGATTCCCATTTGACTCACTGCTGTAAAAATAAAAATAAACCAATTATTTGCATTTGTAAGGAACATTTACTTCAATGGAAATGGAGCTAGCACTTTAAGTAGTCAAATATTACCCCCATGTCCCTGTCACAACATTGTATTATATCAGAAATCCTATCAGAAGCACAAAACGAGACCAGGTAACATTCTCATTGGAAAATAAAGGGATGGAGAAAATTCACAACATCCAGGTGAGCAAGGCAGGGGGTTTTCAGGCTTACTACTGACTACAGCAGTGGTAACATAATGGTCTGATTTCCAAATTTTTAAAACTTTGTTGAATTTTTTGGACAAATTTTGAAATTTCTGAAAGGCTCACTGCCATCTACAGCAGTAGTAACATACTGCTCTGATTTCCTGTGATTTCTGAATTTTTTTGAAATTTCTGAAATTTACATAATTGAAATGTACCATTTGCAGTTCTTTTTCTCTGCATGGGTTCATGCATAACTGTTTCTGATAGATGTCTTCAGCTTTTCTGTGGCTACCTGCTTCTATGTGCATATCTGCCAGGTGTATATAAGCAAGCACAAAAGTAGGCTTTACTTGCACATATATCCTTAGAGGTGATGTCCTGGCCCGAGTCTGTTCTTGCTTCAGGGATTGACTGTGTGGCAGGCTCCCGAGGTGAGAAACTCCAGAAAGATGAGACATGCCTGTGCATGTGTGTTGTGGTGGAGGGGGTGAGGTGGAGAGTTGAATCACTGCTGTACTTAAGAATGGTCACTGATGCCCTCCCTGGTGGCGCAGCGGGTTAAAGCACAGCACTAAGAAGCTAAAGCCACTTCAGCATGAGTTCGATCCCCACCCTAGAGGTGACCCACATGGCGCGGCAGACCTCTCCTGACATGCCCATTGCTCCCCTCAGCAGTGTACTTGGTCGATCTGCCTGTTCTGCTCCCCACTCTGTCTCTGGTGAAGCCTCTCACTGCCCCTGCACCTCTGGCCTGTACCGCAGTTCTGTATGCACAAATAAATAAATCTTAAAAAAAAGTGGTCACTGCAAACAGTTGCCAGCTTTAAGGACATGGAATTAGGAAAAGCCTGGGCCCCAAATGTTTTGCTTCTCCACTGGAGAGGGAGCAGGGTGAGGACAGATACCACAGATACCACCCAGGAATATGACCCGCACAAACTCTGTGCTGAGATGCGGAAGCTGCTAGGTTCTTCAGAGATGAGTGACCCAGGCTTTCTAAACATGTACCCCAATCTTGGCATCTCTGTCCAGACGACATTTGTGAGAAGCAGAAAGAGACCCTCCTGCTTCTGGGTGATCTAATCAGGACCAGGCTTCAGGAATTAGTGTGTGGAAAGTACATTGGCTTTTAGCCCACACCGGGACTGCAAAATGTCAAGTGTGTCACTTAACCATTTGTCCATCTGTCCAAGGTTATTCAGCCAACTTGCCAGAAAAGAATTATTGATCTTCCTCATAGGTAGTTACTCATCAATATGTGTCATCTTTTACCTCCTTGTTTTGGGTTCTGGGAAGACTCTGGAAAAGAATGTCATTATAGTAACATCCCTCTAAAAGGAATGGAGAGACCAATCCTGCTTTAGGTATTTAGTGTAACTAATGAACACACAGTGTAGTTATTAGCAGTGTAAGCATTATTATGAAATTCCAAGTGTGTGCACATGTGTGGTGACTTTTGGATGTGGCAGATATACTTAAGCTGTCAGGCATTTTCCTGGATCCTTTTCCCTTAAGCTATTTTTTTTAAAGATTTATTTATTATTTTCTGCACATAGAACTGAGGTACAGGCCAGAGATACAGAGGTGGTAAGAGGATTCACCAGAGACAGAGTGGGGAACAGACCAGGCAGATTGATGACACTGCTGAGGGGAGCAGCTGGTGAGACAGGAGAGGTCTGCTGCACCATGAGGGTCACCTCCAGGGTGGGGATCAGACTTTCATTGAAGCGACTGCTGCTAGCTTCACAGTGCTGCACTTTCACCTGTTGCGCCACCAGGAAGGACCCCTCCCTTAAACTACTGTAATCCATGAACACAAGAGCAAGGAGGCACTCAACCTGTTTCTTGTCATTGGACCACTGAGATCAGGGGGATTTTGATGTGGATTTTATTCAGGCTAACATAGTTCAGAGCCCCCTGAGACTGCTTCAGCTCAGCAGGTCCCCGCAAAATCTCCTGGGCAGGCTTGCAACTAGGGAGAGAGTCGGGGGAGAGGGAGGGGAGAGCTTGCTTTCCACCAACCATGCAGTTGTAGACAACATTAATCTAAGTGCCACCACTCTGGTTGGGTCTTGTGACCATCAGACCTGGGTCTCTGTTCTCTGGTGAACAGTGTCAAAGTTTCCCCTGGAAAATCATCACTGCACTAGAGAGTGCTACATAGATGCCATGTGAGAGTGCTTTCTTATTCATTTTCATAAGTGCCCCACTGCCCTTAGGAGGCAAGCTCTGTAAGAGGACATAGGAACACACTTCTGTCTTGTCCTCCCTTGCCCTCTGGTCCTGCCTTCAAGACCATGCTCTCTGTTCATGGCAGCTAACCATGTAGCTTTATTAATCTGAAGTCTTTGATTTTTGACTTCTTTTGGATTGTCCACTTGGAGCACCAGCCAGAAGAGAGAACACAGGCCCTCCCTGGTGGTACTAAGGGTTGAGTCACAGCACTATGAAACTCTCCATAGCCACTGTAGCATGAGTTCAATCCCGTCAGGGAGGTGACCCTCAGGGTGCAACAGACCTCTCTTGTCTCACCTGTTGGTTCCCTCAGCAGTGTATTTCAGTAGATCTGTCTGTTCTGCTCCTCACTATGTGTCTGGTGAATCCTCTCTCCCCCCACACGTCTGGCCTGTACCCTGGCTCTTGTATGCATAAATAAATAAAATAAATCTTGAAAAAAAAAAGATAGAGCACAGAAGGAGGTGAAGCTCGGGGTGTTTATTGCTAAACTCCCACTCTGTCAGGCTCTGGTTTGTCAGTGGTTGAATTGTTCCCCAAAAGTCTCTGAGAAGTTGTCTCCTTGCAGCTCCAGTTGAGTGTGTCCTGGGTCTGATGGCTCCTTATCCCTATAGTTTTAGGGGGATCAGGTCACCATTGTGGTTAGGTGCTATGCCCAGCACCATTTTCTCCGGATTTTCCTGAAACTTGGCCAACCTTAAATAGCCCACTTGTTAGACTCATCAGTTACTAGGCTGAGGGTGCCTTCAGAATCATCAGTGAGTCAGCAACCTTGGGAAGGAGTCAGGAGAGGTCTGCCATGCCATGTGGGTAACACCTCCTAGCTGGGATCGAACTCATGCTGAAATGATTTCAGCTAGCTTTGTAGTCCTGCACTTTAACCCCGTTGCTCCACCAGGGAGGGTCTACCTTGGCTATTTTGATGGTCTCACTACTTATCATCACAGGCTCAACAACCACATTGTGTAATGGCCTAAATATAAATTCATGTAATTCACTCAATCAAAATTTATGTAATCCTTCTTTTTGTCCTCATGTTTCTTTTGTTTTGATTCATGTTTAATGAAGTTTTCTATGAGGCCAAGAGATGTACACGAGTGTGATGGGATAATAAATTCAAAATAAAAGCAGCAAAACATTCCCAACAGAGAATTTTGACTTGAGGAAATGAATCTTGTTTCACTTGGATGCCTGGAGATAGGACCAGCTCTGACATGGCATTTGAAAGTCACCCTAACCCTGGCATGGGTTAGTGTAACTAACCTACAAACCTGGAAGAATGTTGGTCATTTTTTTGGTTTAGGGAAACACTAATGTAATCACTAGGCACTGCTGTAATCTTTATTTTGTGCCCTTATGGTAGAGAAGAAGCCTCTTCCCCCAACCCATGTGGAGGTCCCCAACTGGGAGGAGAATACTTAAATATTTTCCTTTATCATGGAGAGTGAAGATCTTTGACGCTATACGCAGCCTAGTAGTGTGGCCCTTGTACTCTGTTAGGGAGGCAATTAATTTCCAGGTCTTCCTGGCTGTCAGCAAATCTAGAGACCAGTAACAGCTGCTCACTGGGTTGTGGGCTCAGGTGAGACACCTGAGCTGAATGAGAGTCATAGTTTATATAGTTCATAGATGGGGCATGGGTTCAAGGGAGAACCAACCAGCTTTCCTGGCAAATGGCACATGGAATGTGAAAGGAAGGTGCAGGGGTTGCAGGGCAATGGGCAATGCAGAGCTACCAAGAGTGAAGAGCGGGGAGCAGCACAAGAAGTACATTTAGGGGGCGCTCAGTTTGCACATGTGTCCTGGCCCATCCACTGATGATTACATTATCGTAGTTGTCTTAATGAGATTCTGCCATTTCTGTGGATACTGACAGCTTCTGGGACCATAGTTCTTCACCATAAAAGAAGAAGTGCCAGAATGCAGGACACTCAATTCTTTGAAACTTGAGGCTCCCATTCTTCGGCTGAGTCTTGGAGCTGTGGATGAGTTGGGTATAGCGTGAGGGTATTAGCTCCAAGGAGGAGTTAAGGTGAATGTGTGTGGCTGTAGCTATCATCCACTGTCCCTTATTAAAGAAGTTTGGGGAATCAGAATTACTCTTAGTCACACAATTACCTTTTTTGTGAGTTTAAAATTTAAAATTTATTGTAGCATTATTACAATCAAAACACAGTATCACTATCAGGAATACATATCAATATATGGCTAATGTCAAGAGTAAGACAGCTATATTCCACCGTTAGTTAGTAACTATTCATTCCACTAGGAGGGCTTGAAGGCTACATAATGATGTGTGAGGGATGTGAGACTGTGTTGGTAAAGTCACCAGTATGTCACTTGGCAAGAAGGACAGAAATGAGGGTATCAGGCAAGCTAAGTGAAAAATGAAAACTAATCAGTGCTATGTAGACTAATAGCATGTTTCTTCTAATAGAAGAACCACAGGCTAGAGAACTGTGTGTTGTGAGTGTGGACAGGGAGAGGGATGTAAGAAAACAACTCTCTAAAAAAAAGTACATTGAAGCAATAGGCAAACTCAGATTGGGCAACGCCTGACTTCCTGAGCCTCCCTTCCTGATGGTCATCATTCCAAGTTTCTCTGATGCTCTGTTCCTTTCACTCCTATGTTCTTCAGCTCTGGAATCAGGAGCTCTCTGTGTTAGGACCCAGTTCCTCACTGTGTTCTTCAGGCTCAAGATTTTGCAAGAAAAAGCTGTCAATGCCTGAAGGGCTATTCTTCAGCAGGCTTCCTAGTTCCTTCTCATAACACCTGGCTGCTTGCAGCAGATCTCCGTTCGCTTTGTGAATTAATCCTTGGTGATACCAATACTTTGGCGCATATTTTGGAACTTGACTTTCAACTATATTCTGTTGTTGGCATTTCATATTTTCCTTTTCAAATGGCTTTTGGCAAATGGGCAAACCCACTAAATCTCTTTGAACATCAGTGTCTTCAGACTTCACATGATTCTTCTGAAAATTGCAAGAGCTCTCATGGAATTGTTTCTCTGTGTTAGGGACATCTTTACTAAAAGCTGTCTGAGAACATTCTTCTGTTTCTAGGAGCTCAGTGAGATCAGAATATGTATACAGAGGACTTAGTCCCTTCTCAATAGCTTTATTCAAATAGTCTTTAGCATATTCCCTTAGTTCTTCAATCTTCTCTTTATTCCCACTGACTTCAGATTCTCCTGTATTTTGAACTTGTTTGATTTTTGCTCTGTAGCAGCATGCAATCTCGTAATATAGATAACCTTTATTGGGTGTGAATTTGACTGCCTTCAGAAAGATTTCAATAGCTTTGTCTAGATTGCCTTTTATTTTGTAAAAATTGGCTGCCTGACGAAGGACATCTGTTTGGCAAGGAGCTTTCTCCAATACTTTCTCAACCAACTGTTCCCCTTCTGCTTCTTCATTCATTTGCAGCAGTTTCAGGGCTAAGAGAACTTTGATATACTGATTATCAGGATTCAGCTTAATGGCCTGCTTCAGAGCACCAACAGAGAAATGCTTTTTTGGTTTTGCATCCAGACGGTACATAGCGATTGCTAGTCCAGAGGAGAATTCTGGGTTATTGGAATTCTTTTCCAGTGCCTTCTCAAAACAGACCTTTGCCCTTTCATTCTGGTTATCTCTGCACTTTAACCATGTCCATCCTTCCTCACATTCAAGCTCAGGACACTCGATACTATAAGGATTTGAAAACTTCTCACAGACTTGTTTCACCTTGTCTACATACATCTGAGCTTCTGAGAGTCTTCCCAGGTGATAGTAGATCCAGGCATAGTTTCCCCAGGTGACCAGACTTTTGAGTTCTACTTGATGAGCATGAGCTTGCTGGGTGAATGCTTCAGCTTGCTGTAGGCATTCCAAGGCTGCCTTGTTCTGGCCTTTGCAGTGTTTTATGTAGGCCAACAGGTTGTACATTGTGGCTTTGAACTCAATATTTAAGTTGTTAATCTGTTCAAGCACACGGCTTTCCAAATCATCTGGGACATCATTTTCTTTAAATAAATTCCATGTGAAATGGCATTTCAGCTGTGAGAGGACTTTTTCCAGAGAACTCTTGTCCTCACTGTGGAGAAAATAAACATGGGTCACTGTGATGTGTACTCTTCAAGCCTTGCAGCAGGGATGCAATTACAGGTTAATTCTAAATGTCAGATTGACTGGGCCATGGGGTTATCAGATATCTAGTTAAACATTCGCTCTGTGCATAAGTCTCAAGATGTTTCCAGAAGGTATTAACATTTGAATCCATGGACTGAATAAAGTAGATCACCCTCGGTAAATGACCGGCCTCATCCCACTTGAGGGCTTGAGTAGAACAAAGGCAAATGAAGGATGAATTTGTCCTCTTGCCTGGCTGCTTGAGCGGGAAACTGGCCTTTTCTCCATGAGACTGGATTTTAAACCAACAACCTCTTCATTTTCAGGCCTTCAGATTCAGACTAGAACTTCATCATTGACTTTCCTGAATTCAAGGTTCTCTATATGTTTCCTTTGATACTGTTTCTCTGGACAACCCTGACTACCACACTCAATTTCTCTTAAATAGAAGAGGAGGTTGTTTACTCTTCTCCTTTGATTCACTTTCTTGTACGTAAGATCTGTTCAAAAACTTACAAAACAGGTTGCTTGCGTTGTGTGAGTGAATGTGCAGAAGGTGAGGTTGGGGGGGGTCGGTGGAGATAGGAGGAGAGAAGGTCACTCAAGGTAATGTGGTCTCTCTTGTCCTGCACAATTAGTTACTAAGTCAGTTCTCTAAACACACACATTCTGGCACATTTTATTGAGTCTTTCAGTGATCTTTTAAAGGGTTATTTCTTTGTGTCACTTAATTATTTTTTAGGGATACTAGGTACAGTAAAGTTTATCCTGGCCTTCTCTGCTCCCAGAAATGGTTAGAAGGATCCATGTAAGACATGAAATCCTGGGGATATTTGCTACCATGCTATATAATTTAGTCTTTTCCCTTTATCTTCTCACTGTTTTCCTATAGTCACATACCAGCTGTCAAGGTTTAATTATTTAAGCAGACTTCCAGGCATAGATAAAATCTGCAGAAGCAATGAGTTGGTTTTGAGAGACAAATAAACATTGACAAGTATGTACTTTGATGTCAGGGACCGAGACCAGGACTTTGCCTCCTATGCACAAAAAAACACTTGATCGGAACTTAGGGTAAACATTCCAGGTCAGCCACCACCCTGTTTCACACCTGCCAGCAGCTCATCTGCCGCCGCCCTACGCCTTTCTACCTTGGTCACCTTCGTGCCCACTCCGGCATGCCTGGCCCTTTAGTGTGCGCCAATGCGCTTGCTGACAGTGTTTATCTGCAACCTAAGACAGGCACAGTCCCCCGAAATCGTGCATGTTCATATTCCCCTCAAATGCAAAACTGCAGCTTTTATAAAACAAGAACCGGGGAGATGTCTGGACGGAGACCAGGACTTTGCCTCCTATGTACAAAACAACACTTGATCGGAACTTAGGGTAAACATCCTGGTTGAGAATGCAGCACACCTGAATCCCTTCCCCCACTCCCCTTCCTTCCTGCTCAGCAAGCTCTGGCGCCTGAGAGATGACGATGGATCCCTCCCCTCAACCCCATTGGCTTTTAAGACATTAGACCAACCCCCCCCCTTCCTTCTGTGCCGCCCTCAAGTATATATATATGACTGTTGTAAGAATAAAGAGCGCTTGCACGCGTCTCCGTTTTTTGCCTTCTTCCTCGCGCTGTCCCTGGGGCTCTCCACCCTCGCCTTGCTCGTCAAGGCCCCCCACACTTTTGAGTTGAAAGATGCTGACGAGTATCACTTGCCCTCTGAAAGTGTATTCTCATATATTTGCTTGGGGTTTGGGGTATATTTTATTGAGTTCCTGCTCCTTTGTTTACTAGTAGATTATTGGCATCATAAGGTTAGTGAAAAAAATTCCCAAAATAATTAAATCCATTAAACTTTGGATTTCACAGAGTAGTGCATGTTCAAAAACTGTTACAAATGAAATAGTTCTGCCAACTTATTTGCCACAACATGACATGGGAGAACATTCATCCAAAATTGGCATCATCTATTCTTACCAATATTATATTAAAAAGGACAGAAAAAGAAATGGGAAGTGCTTTTTCAGTTTGGTGATACTATCTCTGTTTTTGTAAGACTGGGATAGGTATGGCAACAGAGAGGGCACACACTTTGACAATCAGTGAGCACATTTCCAGTAAGAGGCAGCCTTTAAGTACTTATTGATATTAAGTATGTTTTTCAAGGTGCGACATGTTCCAACCCTGTCATGGATAAGTTCAGGAGATGTTGATTACTTGAACAGTATAGGGCAAGTAGAAGAGGTCATTCAATATTACTGAACCTGTGAAATAGCTCTTACTGGAAATCTTGAAAACACTTTATTCCTACCAAAACTTCAGCAATACTAAGCTAGCCAACCTCACTAAAACATTTAGCACAATAATGAGCAATTCAGTAAGAAAATTAACTCGGTATGTGACTTTATTATTGTAAAAATGATTGAAAATTGAAATTCAGGTTTTCCAATTTTTCCTTAGGCTTCCTCCCTAAAGCCTTCATTTTATTGGTAGTAGATACTTGCTGTCTCCTGGAAGTGAGATTTTGAGCAAAATATATTAGACAGAGTGGGGAGCAGAACAGGCAGATCGACGAAGTACACTGCTGAGGGGAGCAGCGGGCAGGTCAGGAGAGGTCTGCTGCACCATGTGGTCACCTCTGGGGCAAGCGGGAATCAAACTCATGCACAAGTGGCTTAAGCTTCTTTGTGCTGTGCTTTAACCTGCTGTGCCACCAGGGAGGGCCCTGTAGGGGAATTTTGAATATCTGAGGGGGAATTTTGAGTATCTGAGGGGGCGGCAGAGTTCCTCCATGGATGGGGGAGAAGTGGACCCATCAGGGGACAGTACTCGGCATTTCCCCAGGTGGTATTCTTCTTCGGTAATTTTTAGCACTGCTGGGGAGGAAGAGCCAAGACTGCTTGTGTCCCCAAAGCTTGTGGGAATAGGTACCTTTATGTGGGTTTTAGTTCAGCATAGACCAGAGACTACCGTCCAGAGTAAAGAATCTGTGGCCATTCAAATCAGTGGCACTTGACACATACTCAAGCAAGCTCCCCAGCAGGGAAGTTACCAAGTCTTGGACTGGACAGGGCCTGGATTTCCACCTCCCTTAGGCAATCACAATTAACCAGGAATCTGTCAGGGAAGAACAACCTGGGAGCTTGGCAATGAATCCCTTTCCCCCACCTCCTCCCCAGACATAACCCTGCAGAGCATTTGAGAATGCTTTCTCTTCCTTACTCCTGGTGTCTTCCCTTTCTCACTTCATGAGGGACAACAGTGATGGAGGTTGAGAGTAGAAATTTGGAAAAGCGGCTACGTACGGCCAGAAACCTGGTTCATGTAAGGCCAGAAGCTTGGGGGTAGGAGTGATTAACCTGGTCATTAAACCAGCTATAAAAATGAAAAAAAAAAAAAAAATCCTTAGGCACCTACTTCTCTGGCAAGTAGCAGACTGCTATAGAGAGCATCCCAGAGGCACAGAAGAGAGATGGGATATAGACATGGAGACCATTGCAGAGAATCACTGGTCCTGACAGATCAAACTAGTCACAGCCTAGAAGCGATTAGACTAAGAAAAGTTACCCACTCCCCAAAGGAGTGAGCATCTCCCAAAGAGAAGACCTGATCAGTCCAGTCTCGGGGCTGGCACCTGGGTGGCAGAGGGTCTCCCGTGGCCTGCGACTCTGCAGGTGATTCTCTTCACCGACTCTCTCCCTTAGAGGGCCGCAGAGGCAGTGTCTCCCAAGGCCGCCCACTTTTACCAAAGCTGTTCCTTTCAGGAGCAGCTCTTTCTGCCTGCTTGTGCTTGTGCAAACATCCTTTATTCTTCTTCCCCTTTTTATAATCAACCTGCCCTTTTGGATTTAACTCCCACCTTTGTCTCGTGGAGACACTCACTGCGTGGGACTGAAAGGGGAGGGCTGGAGAAACTTTTCCCAAGACCTATGCAAAATTTCAAATAGGATCCCATCCCCCTTCCTTAGCTATTCACCCTCTATTTCTCCCTATAGGTATTTGGTGGGAAAGGCATATTTTTCTTCCAGCACTGCCTTTTCTGAGACTCTAACAGATCCATTTACATTTTTAAAAATGAAGTTTATAGGCCCTCCCTGGTGGCGCAGCGGGTTAGAGCACAGCACTGAGAATCTGAGGCCACTTCCGCATGAGTTCGATTCCCGCTGCCTCCTGCCCCGGAGGAGACCACATGGCGGGGCAGACCTCTCCTGGCCCGCCTGCTGCTCCCCTCAGCAGTGTACTTCGTCGATCTGCCTGTTCTGCTCCCCACTCTGTCTCTGGTGAGGCCTCTCACCGCCCCTGAGCCTCTGGCCTGTGCCCCAGTTCTGTATGAATAAATAAATAAATCTTTAAAAAAAAAAAAAAAAAAAAAAATGAGTTTATAAAGATTATCTTTTATTTATTTTTAAAAAATATTTATGCATACAAGAACTGGGGTACAGGCCAGAAGTGTGGGGGTAAGAGGATTGACCAGGACAGAGTGGGGTGCAGGACAGGCAGATGAATTGAAACACACTGCTGAGGGGAGTAGCCGGTGGGTCAGGACAGGTCTGCCACGTCATGTGGGTCACCTCCCTGGCAGGGGATCAAACTCATGCTGTAGTGGCTGTGGAAAGCTTCAGCGTGCTGTGCTGCACTTTAATCTGTTGTGCCACCAGGGAGGTCCCCAAAGATAAATTTGTATATGCATTAAAATGAACCCAGTTTAATTGTACAGATTCTTGAGTTTTGACACAGGTTCAGGTAAAACAGCCCACCATCTCCTACATGTTAGGCATCTTTGACATTCTGCTTCATCCCCAAGGTTCTCCCTGTGCTCCTTCCTCTCTAGTCGATCACAACCCCACTCCCAAGAACCTCCAGAACCATTGCTCTGCTTTCTGGCACTAGAAACCTCTGGCACTAGAGACCCCATCAGTATTACAAAAGAAGTCAGGGTATCATGTTTTGAAGTGGAATTCTCTTTTTCTGTTCATCAGCTTCATGAGAGCAAAACAAACAAACAAACAAAAACCTAAAAAACTAAGTTTTGGTTTTTAGTTTTCATATAAAAAATGGAAAAATGCCCACCTGTAAGAATTGTTTCTTCTAACTCCCCACCTTAAAGTGATCAAATGTTTCAGAGCAAAATCCCCCTCAATGTGAGTTAGGCTTGATTAACAATTCCATCTTTCATAATACATGCTGAAAAAAATGTCTTCCTCTCTTCCTTTTAAAATTATAAGAAGAAAACCTCCAGTTTTTTTTTTTCAAATAAAACAAAACAGAAACCATAAAGGGTCAGTTTCTTGGGTTGACATTTGAATGACAAAATAATGTCCTTTCTACCCCACGTCCTGGCTCTGAACACCATTCAGGGATGAATTTTAGTAGCTTAGAACTCATTACACCAGTTCAGAACCAAGTTTATGTAGGAACAAGTGCCAAACAAATACAGGCAAGTTTAGACAGTAATCAGCAAGACAACTCAAGAACTAGGAGCTGGTCTTGCAACTTTCACTCATTGTCCAAGTGTCCTTAGAAGTTTTTCTCACTCACCTCATGATGGCAATCTGCTTCCTGCTGTTCACAGAAGCTGGTGTCCAATTCCAAGCTGACTTGTTCTTCAGAAATCTTCTTGGGTGGCTGAAGTAAATGCTGAAGGAAATTTATGAAATTTATAAGAACAAGGCAGATGGGGGTGGCTGCATTTTCTCAGCCTCTGAGTGGCTGCTTATCCAAATAGAAAGAGAAATGGAAAGTGAAACTTACTGAAATTAAGAGTAGGAAATGAAAACTTAAGGCTGGGATTTAAGAATAAATTCATTTATAACAGGGTGATCCCCAGGGAATGTGAAAGTTCCAGGTTCCCTGCCTACTCAAGGTGAAATGGAGTTGAACAGGGAGGAGGAGAAACCGGAGAGGAGACTGAGGAAAGAAGTGAGCAGAATGCAAACAGGAAAGAGGCCCCGAGGAAGCACATGAAACAGAGACCAGGCTTGCTTCTCGGGACTTGTATTTGTACCAGGGATTTGGGGGACATGGAAGAGGACACTTGAAACATACATGCATGAGAGGCCCAGGGAAGGTTAACAATGCAGCACTTATCTTGGCTTGATTTTGCTCTTTTTCTTCCAGACTTGTCTGGCCCCTTCTGCCCCTTTCTTATGGGTCCCTGCCAGGAGGTGCCTTAACCTGTGTCCCTCTTTGAGCCAACCCTGTATGGCTGGGCATTTAACCCACAAGGGAATGGGGCAATGGTTACAGTGATAAAAGAACATGTCTTGGGCCTCCCCTGGTGGTGCAGTGGGTTAAAGCGCAGCATTAAGAAGCTAAAGCCACTTCAGCATGAGTTTGATCCCTGCCCCAGAGATGATCCACATGGTGTGGCAGACCTCTCCAGGCCCGCCCGTGCTCCCCTCAGCAGTGTACTTCGTCGATCTGCCTGTTCTGCTCCCACTCTGTCTCTGGTGAATCCTATCACCCTTCACATCTCTGGCCTGTACCCCAGTTCTATATGAATAAATAAATAAATCTTTAAAAAAAAAAGAGAAAGAAGTCGGCAGCTCTGATTGTGAGAGAGCAATTTTTTTTTAAAGATTTATTTATTTGCGCATACAGAACTGGGGTACAGGCCATAGGTGCAGGCACAGTGAGAGGATTCACCAGAGACAGAGAGGGGAGCAGAACAGGCTGACTGATGAAGTACACTGCTGAGGAGAGCAGCGGGCGGATCACGAGAGGTCTGCCACACCATGTGGTCACCTCTGGGGCTGTGATAGAACTCATGCAAAAGTGGCTTTAGCTTCTTAGTGCTGTGCTTTAACCCTCTGTGCCGCCAGGGAGGGCCCGACAGATAGCAATTTTAATGAACAAGGAGACTTACTTACGAGTCATTATTGGGTTTCCACAGATAGGTAGTTCTCTGCAGTAAGCCCTGCCAAACCAGTGTTGATATAGAGGCTTAATTATGCTCAGCCTCGTATGCTGCCCAGGTAAGTCTCAACAACATATGAACCTCCTCCTGAGTTGTATACCTGGTGCAGCTTCAGGAATGACCCTCAAGGGAGGGGGAACAGGAAACCTCCAAATCCCAGGGGCAAGGATTTCTGCAGGTTACCAGGGAAGGAGATGAGATGCCTGAGGTTGCTGGGATATAGTATCAGTTACATACTCCTTTGATTGCCTGCTCAGTAGCTTTGATTGATTGCTGAAAATACACTGCAGCAGGCCTGGGAGTGCTATCTCTGAATCAGTGTTCTGATTTCCTTGTCTAACTGCCCAGCAGTGAGATGACTGGATCCTAGGGAATTTGTGCCTTCAGCTCCTGAGGAATCTCCAGGCTATTTTCCATAATTGCTACACAAATTCCCCCTCCCACCAAGTGTGTTTGAGAGTTTCCTTGTCTTCACACCAGGCCAAAGCTAGTCACTTTTATCCTTCTGACAGTAGCCATTCTCACAAGTGTCACATGATTTCCCATTATTTTGCCTTACACTTTGCTAAGAGGAGTCTGTTAAACATCCTTTCCTGTGTCTGTTGGAGCAATCTCTACTCAGACCCTCTACCCGGAAGTTAGCCAGCTGCTTGTTTTCTTGTTGAGGTGTATGCTTTCTACAGTATTGTGAATATTAAGGCCTGTGGGACGTGTGATTTGCAAATATACCCTCCCATGCAGTTGTTGCCTTTTCATTTGATCTATGGTATTTGCTCTTTCATTGGTAGCTTTTTAATTCTATGTAGTCTAATTGTTTATGGATGCTCTTCTTTCCCTTCTCTTGGAATCTGACTCCCAAAGACATTTCAGAGGCTGTTGGCAGGAGAATATTGCCTTTGTTTTCTTCTGTCTATTTTGTAGCTTCATGACTTACATGGAACTCTGTAACCTGTTTTGAATTAATTCTTGTATATTCTGTAAGAGAGTAGTTTGGTTTTGTTCTTTTGTATGTGGCTGTATGGTTTCACCAGCACCATTTATCAGAAAGGTATTACTTGATCCATTGTATACTTATACCCCTTTTCCCTGAAGTTAGTTGCTCATTATTTCTGGGCTCTATTGCTATCTTGTTGATATTTGTACACCTTGTGATACTGCTTGTGAGACTTATGTATACCTGTACCTTGTGATTTACGGGTGGAGGCATCCCCCTGCATGTGTTGTTACCGTCTTGTATCCACCCCCAAAATGCCCATAGTCCAATGCACTCCCTCCCCACTTAGTTATTCTCTCTATTCCCCCAGAAACTCCCTCCTCCCTGCACCACTGATAGTCAGTTATTGGGGTGATGTAATCTGAGCCTTTTTGTTTCTCCATATTCCATGTGTAACTCACTCAAGCTGGTATTTGTCTTAACTTATTTTACTCAGCAAAATCACCCCAGAGGCAACCATGTGGTCACAAATGCAAGAGTTTGTCAGGGTTTTTATTTTTTATAGTTAATTAGTATTCCACTGTGTGTGTGTGTGTGTGTGTGTGTGTGTATACACTACATCTCCCTTATCGTGTGTATTTAGTTGGTTTTCATAGCTTGTCTATTTTATTTTATTTATTTATTTTTTAAAAGATTTATTTATTTGTGCATACAGATCTGGGGTACAGGCCAGAGGTGCAGGGGTGGTGAGAGGCTTCACCAGAGACAGAGTGAGGAGCAGAACAGGCAGATCAACAAAGTACACTGCTGAGGGCAGCATCGGGCACGTCAGGAAAGGTCTGCTGCGCCGTGTGGGTCACCTCCAGGGCAGGTGGGGATCGAACTCATACTGGAGTGGCTTTAGCGTCTTAATCTGTGCTTCAACCCGCTGTGCCACGAGGGAGGACCCAGCTTGTCTATTTTAAATATTGTGGCAGTTAATGTGAGAGTGCAGGTTTCCTTTTCTATTTTTGTAATATTTGGATATATAAGTAGATGTGGAGTTGCTAGATCATATAGTTGATTCATTTTTTTATATTTGAGAAAGTTCCAACTCTTTTTCCAGAGGGGCTGGACCTTGTACATTTCCAGCAATAGTGTAGTAGGGTTTCTTTTCTCCTCATCCTCACCAATACTTCTTATTACTAGTCTTTGAGTTTGGGCCATTCTCTCAGGTCTGAGGTGATATATCACTGTGATTTGATTTGCATTGCCCAACTTATAAGCGATGATGAGCATTTTTTTCACATTGGATTGTTGTCCATCTGTATGTCTTTCTTGGAGAAGTGTCTGTTAATCCTTTTGCTCATTTTTGAATTGTGTTATTTGTTTTCTTTTTGTTGACTTTTGTAAGTTCTTTGTAGATCTTGGAAATCAGTCTTTTATTAGATGTATGATGTGAAAATATTCTCTCCCTTTCAATAGTGTGCCTTTGTTTTAGTGATAGTTTCTATTGTTCTGTAGCAGCTTTTCAGTTTGATGTAGTCCCAATTATCTATATCGCTTCTGTTTTCCTTGCTGTTAAAGTGGAAACCAAAAAACAAGTCATTGTGGAGCATTTTTGCCTATGTTTCTTTTAGGTATTGTATGGACACAGGTTTAACATCCAATTTTCTATCCACTTTGAGTTAATTTCTTTACATGGTGAGAGAAAGTGTTCTTGTTTCATTCTTTTGCATGTGGCAGTTAATTCTGCCCCACCATTTATTGATGACACTTTCCTTTCTGCTATGCGTCCTCTTGCTCTTTTGCAATAGGTTAGCTGTCCTTACATGTGTGGGTTTATTACGAGGCTCTCAAACCTATTCCATTGGCTTGCGTGTCTGTACCATATGTTTGTTGCTGCACCATACTGTTTTGATTGTTACAACTTTGTTGTCTTGAAGACTGGGAGTGTGATCCCACCATTTTCCCTTTTTGCCAGTGTTCCATAGGATACTATATTCTCATTTTAATTTGTCTGAAGGTAATTTTAATCTTTGAGCTATTCAGTCATTTGTCTGAAGGTATTGTATTCTCATTTTCATTTGTCTGAAGGTAGTTTTAATCTTTGAGATATTCATTAAACCAATAGTTGTTCCGTAATATCTCATTCAGTATCCACTTATGAAAGATATTTCTGCTTTCTTTTGTAGTTGATTTTTGGTTTGATACTAATGGAGTCAGAAGTGTGCTTGATATTATTTTAATTCTCATGAATTTAATAATAAATGTTTTGTGATTTGTGTAACACGTGAATTTCAGAAGAATGTGTTTCACCTTTTAGGATGTAAATATTTTATTACTATTTGCAAAAAATTGTATGTCTCTAGGCACTCAAATCAATGTTAAGTGTAATATGTCATACGTAATCTTTGTTCTTAAGGCATTTGTTCCAAGGAAGAATTTGGTGATAAAATAGAAGAGCAAGACTATGTACACATGTACCACACAGGTATGAGTAGCCCACATTCAAGGTCAGAGACTTACCCATCTTACCTTCCACTGAGAACACTTCTGCATTTCTTCCCCAGGACCAGATATAACCATAAGGAAGTTAGTCAAAGTGAGTGTAACCTTCCACTGGGGGAAGCATTGTTCCTGTCAATCAAATGGAATTAGTTACTCTTTACATCTCAGTTAACGTCTTCTTTTACCTGAAGAACAAGAGGGAATTGACAAGGCAGAGCC